TAAATAATTGAATTATTTAATTTATTTGAATTATTTGAATTATTTAATTTATTTATATATTAGCTAATCTAAATAGGACGTCAAATAGACCCTAAAGGTATCTCTATCATATATATATATGTGCACATATGGGGGATGCATACTGGAATGGAAAAGAAACTTGCTACTACTAGAGTATCTTGGGTTTAGGGATAGTATCCCAATAATGGAATGTCAAATGGAAAAAAGGACAAGAAATGGATAGTGGGTTTTTATGAGGATATAAATATGAAGGATTTAGGGTTTGGGGTCTTGGGATAAGGCAACATGTCGGGCTGTATAGGAAGCGGTTATACGGATCATGAGGGGGCTATGTGGGATGACATAGGGATTGTGTTGGAGTATTACTCAACCCTAAACCCTAAACCCTAACCCGAAAACCAAATTGAACATTAAATGGCAAGTGTACTGGGCATAGGGTTTGTATAGTTATTTAGGCAGGGAACAGCCCAACCTTTGACCAGGTCATATCCCATAGTCCCTCAAAAAGCTAAAGCTAGAAGTATGGGCCCCCAATATGGGCCCTTAGGCCTTTTTTAGGGACCCTTAAGGGTACATATAGGGTATTTATAACAGATACTTGTAATAGATAATATTAGTTTTTTACCGAGTGGACAGCAGTCAGGTTCTGCTGCTATTTGACATCGAGGCACATCTCTTTAGGGTTCAGGGGTTTCTTGTCCCCCCAAGACACGGACATCCTCCATAAGGAGGACTTTTTGAAGGTTTGGCACTGTAGCCCTGAGCAGTCGTCGGAGTGCCGAGTGGTGGCACCTTAATGTTCCGGGAGTTCTGGAGCTCCTGCCTGAGGGGTCATAGAACCTATCTTCATCTTTTCCACTCCCCCAAGCACTGGGAAAATGCTTGCCTTGTGCTTGTTAAAGCGGATTCTGTGCGAGAATCCGTGGAGTTTGGGGCAAGTAAGATACATTCGGACCTTCAAAGGAGACCCAACAATCTTCAGCAGTTCTCCAAACTCATCTACAGCAGATCGGCAAGTCGAAGACTATGGTGCGCCTAGCTTCCGCCAACATCTTGCGCTTTGGGTTCCCCGTGCATACTGCATAATGTTGGGTCCATTTGGCGGGAAGGTCTGGCTTGATCTCCACTCACACGTGAACATGTGGCTGCGCAGATCGTGAATCACGGCTTCTTTGGGCAACGCAACGAAGAGACCAACTCTCAGGACCCAGAAGCCAATGTGCGACTAGTCTCCTGAGTTTGGGATGTGACTGTGTAGTGACCTTCGCCTGAAACCCTAAACTGAGTAGAGAACGTTGTAGCCGTCATTTTCTCATGACTTTTTTTGTTCATTCCTTTTTCTCGACTGGGCATTGCCGTTAGTCAGTGGTGTGTATCTTCATGACAGGCACCACTTCAGTACCCTGACCAGCCTCATGTTTCATTCTATTGTTGCGCTATGTGCCCTCAATACTGTAATCCTGAAGTACCAAAAAAAGGATCCACCTCATGTTGTGGTTTGCTGTTCTACTATGTACCCCACTTGTTGTAATCCTTATTGTAGGGACTCCCAAAATGGGACCCGCCCTCATGTTGCATGTTACCATTCCACCTTACTCGCAATATCGTAATCCTTACTCGTTAATAAAGGGACTCCCAAATTTGGACTCACGGTTTTTGAAATTTCCCTTTCCGTTATCCCATATGGTAGTTTCCCAAAATAAGGGGACCCCAATATAGACCCAAATATACTATAGTCCCTATTATGGGGGCCCCCAAAAAGGTAGCCCTAATTTTGGGAAGCCCCCATATATCCCTACATAGCCCCAACATCCCCGATGTACTCTCAGTAGGTTTATCCTCCTAGCTCGGACCCTCAAGCCTAAGCCCTCAGCCCTGACCCTTAAACCCTAACCCAAGCCCCTGATTAATAAACCCCCTCCCCTTAATGGGGGTTAGAATAGGGATCCCAGTAGCAAGGCCCTTAAAAGGAGGGGTTTAAGTTATCATGGGTCTACATTAAACCCTGAACTCTAAATAGTAGTGTCCCTAAACCCTAAACCCTAAATAGCAGTTTCCATTTTCTTTTCCATGATCCCTACACAACCCTATCTACCCCCAATATGTAGCCCCTACATAACCCTTTAAAGGGACCTACATTAGGGAACCCTAAGCCCTATACCCTAAACCGTCTACGTTGAACCTTTGTCAAGGGAGCGAATTGCTGTTGGCCTTGGCTCAGAGTGCTCCTGTCTGCCCTTGGCTCCGAGACCAGCGGATTCGGAAAGATGGAGGCTGGCGCTTGCATAAGGGTTTAGGGTTTAGGTTTCAGGGTTTAGAGTTCAGGGTTTAGGGATGCTACGCCAATAAAATGGAGAATGGGATAGAAAGAACATGCAAAATTTAATCAGAAGTACTAGTATAGGGGATGTAAGGGTGTTTTTGGGGTTTGTACAGGGTCTGTACAGGGGTTATAAAGGGATTGTGTAAGGATTTTGCCAAGGAACATGGAAACTACGATACTATCATAGGGTATATGTGGACTGGGCTGGGACGTCTGTTGAGTGAAGGCTCTTCGACCTTACATAGTCTTGGAATTATATAGTCACTATATTCCCTGTACCATCCCTATGCAGTCCCTATATATTCCCTATGTAGTCCCTATTTGTATACTTAGGAATTAGGACCCTAAAGTGTAGGTTCAATTTTGCCCTAAACCCTAGACCCTCTACCCTAGATCCTAATTCTGCTCTACAAGTGGTTTTGTCACAGTGGCCTTGCCACTCTTGGCATTCGGGAGTCATTCGTGCAAAAGGAGACGTGGGCTCCTCAAAAAGCCCTAAACCCTAACTCTAAGATTAAAACCATGGGCCCCTAGTATGGGCCCTTAGCCCGTTTAGGGGGAATCTAGGGGCCCTTAAAGGGTACATATAGGGTATATAATAGGTATATACGGACCCCAGGGCCAAGGGCCCATGGTTTTTACATTAGACTAACCCATCCTCGTACGCCTCGGCTTCGGAAACAGAGATCCCGTATGCCTTATGCATCCTGTAATACCCAGGGGCGGGGTTCCCAAAATTCAGGGTTACCTTTGAAGGGGTTATTCAGGTGTTCTGTGGAGATGTGCAAGGATTCAGTGGGTTTAGAGTTTCCCAAAATTGGGGGTAGCATTCTCTGGTGGGTCCTCTGACATATTCCTATATATGCCCTATATATATAATATGTACTCTAACGGACAATGGAATGGAAAAGAAAATGGAAAATGCAATGGAAATTGGGGTTATGTAGGGGTATTGTTGATGACTAAAACCCATAATATTTGGTAGTTTCCATGTTCCATTTTTCTGTATAGTTCCTACATAAGCCCTATATCTCCCCTACATATGCAAGCGTGAGCTTGCTGCCTCAGGGCGCAGATGCCAACAATCTTCTGGGTTTCACAGAGGCGCGAATCGGCGTGACTGGCCGTGGGAAGAGATATGTAGGGGATACAGGGGGTTATATGTATATATAAAGGATGATGGAAAATGGAAGCTACTATACTATAACAGGGCATATATGGTATAAGCGAGGTAGGCGGGAAATAGAACCGGGACTCCTTGAAGGTATATATACATTGAAAGTAGAGACGTCTGATTTTGCCGAGCCTAGTGTTATGCCAGATTCCGCAACATCCCCTTCGTAGTATGCTGCAGCTGTAGTTGACTGGTGGGGCGCATCATAATAAGCATAACTTCAGTGGCGAGGTTGAGTCTGAGTGTTCTGTGCCATGATGAACAGCACCTGAAGTGGTTTGGTGTGAATTATATTTGGATTGGGACAGAGTTACCAGACCAGGGGGAACATGATGCCGCTTCCACGAAAGATGCCTGGTGTCCTCGTTGCTAATGCGACATAGAGGGCCAGAGAGCGCTTATGAACATGCGTGGTTTTTACACTGGCTTAGTACTTCAGTTCATCTTTTTTTTTACAGGCCGTGCTAGGCGCAAAGGCTCATTGACATGCCTGGGCCCTCAACTTGAATCCCTCAAACGCAAACTCTACACTCTCGAGATAGTGTTGACGGGTATTTCGCGTCCTCATGCTTAAAGCACACGGAGGACTGAAGAACAACGTGATTTTGTGCTGTTGCACTGTTGTAAGAGCATTTGTGGTGGCTGAGTGTGTTTGCGCCTGACCCTGCTCTACAGAGCATTCCTGGCAGTCGGAAAGGATTCAACGCACAAAGAATCTCTACTCACTAAACTTTATTCCTCTATCGCTATGTCGGCAGGCGGCGCCGCCGCCCGTGATGGAGGCAAGGTCTCTTGTGATCCTTTGCCTGCAGTTTTAGTTATGGCCATCGCTTGCGGCAGGGTGATCAGCGCATATAGTTATAGGATTTCCACTCTAACCATCCTCAGCAATCCTATTCATTCCTTCTTGGTCTCTTCTCCTGAGAATCATCATGGTTACAGCAAGCATGAGCAGTAAAAGCACTCCGCGTATCACGGTGGCGAGAGCCTGAGGGGCATAGCTGGTTCCATAAATGCGTTCGGCTCTCCTATTGCTACAGCTGCAGCTCTGCTAAATGTCCGGAATGTCATACCTCTTTATCTGGCTATGACCCAACTTACACCTACCCTCCTGAACAATGCCAGGCGCCCGTTGACCCAATGCCGCCACACCTTGGCGGTGCAGAGGTTGGGTGTAGAGGGATTCTATCTATCGGGGTCTATATTGGGGAATGGAAAAGAGAACGGAAACCACTACAATGTAGAATCAAATGGAAAAGAAAATGGAAAATTGAGTGGAAAGTGCAATATATATGGGAATATGAACCCCTTCGTGTCAATCCCAAATGGGGCCTGAGCATCTGAAAATCCAAGCCCTCCTCCCCCGAGAAAACAGGTTATAGTCCCCCTTAAGTAGATAGAATATAGTTTTGGGTATATTATAAGAAGATCCCCATATACCCCATATTCTATCTACTTAAGGGGGACTATAAGCTTTAAACCCTGTGGCAGGCCCAAGGGATGGATATGCTTGGATCTGCTCCGGCACCTGCCGCGCCGTACCAGGATGATTGGGAAAAAGGGGTGGGGGTTTCTGGAAAGGAGATCTAGGGTAGATAGGGCTAATATTCAGGTTTCGTAGGGGTTCTATAGGGATGTTGCTCCAATAATGAAGAATCAAACGGGAAAAAAAGGAACATGAAATGGACACTGGGTGTGTACATGAGGTTCCCATCAGTATGGACTCCCACCTATGCACCCCTATATGAGCTGTAGTGTAAACTCCTGGTATCCCCCTTAATATCCCGTATAGTAGTTCCCTATATAATCCCCTATATAACCCCCCATTAAGGAGTTTAGACCATAGCTCATATGCTAGACTGCTTATTATAGGCACTCCCAGAGCGGGGCCCCTACATGTTTGGAATCCCCCATATGTGGGGTCTCGAAACAGGGTTCAGGGTTATCATTACGGCTCAAGGGTTGAGGGTTTAGAAGGAGAAATCAAAACTAAAAGGAGTTCATGGGGGGCCCCTTGGAGGATTAGGGGGTAATTTTTGGAGAAACCCCCATGTATGTGCACAGATAAGTAGGATATGACTGCGGTAAAGTAGGTCAGAAAATCCTCCTAATTTCTGAAGGCTTCTGCATCGCTCGTGTTGCCGCTGATTTGAGCAATATGACCGTCAGCAGGGTAACGCTACTATGCTGTTGCTAGTGGTGCTGCTAAACTACCGCTGCCACTTCTGCCACAACTACTGCTGCTGCTGCTGCTGCTGCTGCTGCTGCTGCTCTTCCTCCTGCTGCTTCCGCTGCCACTGCGGCTACAGCGCTGCTACTTTTGCAGCTGTTGCTGCCGCCGGCACCGCTTGCAGCCCTACCTGCTGCTGGCCACGGATAATGCGACGCAATACTGCCACAGCCTGTACGTACCATGCCCCGACACCCTTGATGCCGATTACCTCTTAGTTTGTCTGCGATACTACTATGTGCCCTGCGGGTACGTAGGAGGTTTTGTTGCTGGGGCAGGGCCGTCACGTCCGGCAGCAAAGGCACAAGTCCTACTGGCTGTACTGCTGCATGGTCAAGCTAGTTGCAGCTGGGGGCATGTGGCTATGTCTTCAGCTAAGAGTATTTCGCTGGATACTGGACACAGAGACTTCAAAGGCTGGGCAGTTGAACGTTTGCATGTTTATATCAGCAGCGACAAAAAGCAAGTAGTAGCAAAAGTACTTGATAACTGCTACAGAAGCAATCACACTAAGCGGAGCAGATGGGAAAAGTTGCGGTAGTATTCACCAGTAGTCAGAGTAATGGCCAATGACATTTCTTAGAACGAGATCCCCGCCGCGAGGACCCCTTTCAGGGCGTTCCCGTGAAGGACCCCATGCGGCAGACATGCTGCATCGATGCACACGATCCATGTATGCCCCGAAGTCCGAAGCTCTTCAAAATGCCGCGTTCGAAAGGGAGCTCCTAGCCAGATCTTTCTAAGAATTGCGGGGCCATATCGATGTCTTCAGGACCAGGATGGAGCAAGTCTGACATCCATTCCAAGCTTCAGTTTGTCGAATGTACGTATGCTGCCCTGCCCTGCCTTTGCGGTATGCAAGCAGGCATGATGACATTATTGCTTTTTTTCGGGGGGGTCTTTGGTGTAGTTCAGCCTTCAGCTTTCTGTGGCACTTCATTGCCTCAAGGCCTGCATTTCACATACTTTCAGGACCCTGTTGGTGCCACGCCACTCATCCCCGAGATGAATGCCCTGCGCGAGTGGGAGGACATCTCTTTCTGTACAATCCAGCGGATAATCTAGAGTAAGATTGTATCGTCCATGCCTATTGTAAGAACAATGCAGTGTTCTTGATACCAGGGTCAGCCACCCCAAAAAAGCGTGAGCATGCCGGCACTCCAGTTTTGGTGATCTCATTTTTGGCTAAAAGAGCAACAACATTTGGTCATCGCAGCAGCTAGCTAGCAAGAAGATCGCAGCTTGTAATAAGAAAACCGACCATGTAGCAACAGGTTGATAGTGATGTTTTTTGAAGTAGAAGACTTGCCCTACCTTCCATGAGTAATCTCCGATCCTCAGCATGTTTCTACACATGCTCACATACTGGAGGAGAAGCATGAGAAGGAACTGGAAGAGATGGCGCGCAAAGAGGCAAGCCGTGTTGTTTGAGCTCTTATGCGAAGCCCTCGTGGTTTCGCGTGTTTGAAGCAGTGTGTTTGAGCCAGGAAGGGGTAAGCTTCTAATCTGACACTCAAGCAGTATGGTAGTTTCCCAAAATAAGGGGACCCCAATATAGACCCCAAAATATTACAATCCTTTTTGTGGGGACCCTCAATAAAGTACCCCTAATTTTGGGAAACCCCCATATCTTGTGGCAATATATACCCTAGTATAATATAGTAGTTTCCATTTTCTTTTCCATTATCCCTATATAACCCCCATATATACCTAATCCCAATATAACCCCAATATAACACCAATATAATCCCAATATAATCCCCCATATCTTGAAGTGAATTCCTCTGCAGTCCTCAGTGAAAGCCGACTGGAGCGACCTTGTCGCAGTGGCTCTTCGCTTGGCAAAAAAGAGGGAAAAAAGGGTACTACTGGGGTGTAGGGTTTAGGGTTTAGGGTTTGTTGTTCTGCTACGTGAACATCGTTCTGGACAGGCACAGGAAAAGGAGCAGCGACGTGGGAACGCCACGGCCGAGCTGCAGAAATGGAACGAGGAAGCACATGTCATGCTGGCCTTCCCAAAATAGGGGAACCCCAGTATAGACCCCAATATGTTATAATCCTTTTTATGGGGGCCCCAAAAAGGTAGCCCTGGTTTTGGGAAACCCCCACATTGGACGAGGTTGGATTCCGTGATCCTTGATTAAGGCGATATTCCTTTTGGAGAGCCCCAATCCCAACACTTTTGTGTAGAGCCTTTGTAGGGTGCCGCAACAGCTGTTCCATCAGGAGCGGGTGGATACCAGGAAGAAGCGCATGGTGCCTGCCTGAGTAGCCGTTGGTTTTTGCCACCAGGGCGAAAGTGACATCTTGAAGCATGATAGCGATCCGTCTCCCTGCAAACTCAAACCTGTCAGTGGACTGCGAATGTCCCTAAACCCTAAATAGTAGTTGTAGCCTTCCAGTGGGACCGCAAGATGATGTCTAGCAACTTCATCATGTCATAGCCATGGCGGTTCACTGCAGCAAGAGCTGCAGATAAGTTTGGTGTTGAAGCAACAAGCGATTGCTGACAAAACCTGTTGGACCCAAGTCCCAGTGGTGCTAGAGTGAAAGCAAAGGCTTCAAACCGGACCAACGAGGAGACCTCAGAGAAGGCCAGGGAGGAGGCTGGACTTGGGCTGGCGATTTGCGGATGGAAGCCTAAATTGGAGAAATTCAAACGATATTTCTACAATATCCGTGACAACCTTTCATCAGGCTGCGTATTCACAACAGACACTCAAAAACAAGCTCGTGGATGGTGCTTGTAGACTATCTATCATGCCAATACCTAACTGTTGTTTGTATCAGCATGGCATCCATTTTGTCTGTCAGTCTATCACTTGGAACATGTTGCATTTTCACTCCCTAAACCCCTAAACCCTAAACCCTAACCCCCTAAACCCCTAAACCCCTAAACCCCTAAACCCCTAAACCCTAAACCCTAAACCCCTAAACCCCTAAACCCCTAACAGCCTTGCGGCAGAGTGTTCCGAAGTCTCGGCACCTGACTGGACAGGCTTTGAAGCCAGGAGCCAACCCGTGGGAACGTCCCTCAATAGCACTCGTTCAGGGTTTAGGGGTTTAGGGGTTTAGGGTTTAGGGTTTAGGGTGCTATTAGATACGCTTAGGATTAAAGTATATTTGTCTACAAAGTATGTAGACTTCAGATACTGGGACTATGCCCTAGACTCTAGAATCAAAAGACTTGAAAGATCAAGACCCGCAACTCCAAACCGTTATTGGCACTCATTCAGAGAGGTCCTTGTGAAGAATCATTAGCAATCCCAAGAAAATCAAATGACTTCTGGTTGTATCATGACGACCAACCATGACCAAAGGTGGGCATGTTGTATTGGAGATGGGAGTTGGTCATCGTGACTTGTGTCTATGAGTGTTTATTGCGAGTGTTCCCTCATACTCCTGGTATGGTTGTATCCTTATCAAAATTCAACACCCAATGAATATTCATCATTCCTGAATACTTCCTGCTTGCTGGTCTACTGATTTGTGTCGTCTGTTCTCCTTTTATGGTTTTATGGCTTCTTCTCTGGGTGTCAGTCTGGGACACAGAGAAGTTGCATATCGATTCGGCTTGCGGTTGTATGTTTAGATGTTTGGCAGGGGTACTGTGGTTTATGTGATTTTACCCCTGATCTCGCTCCTCCCTGATACTTTTAGGGCTGCTGTGAAGCAGCCAGGGCAATACCCTAAACCTTGAGGTTTCTGAACACCGTGTTATAGCCACTCAATCCTCTACACTGAGAAGCTCTGTTGTGACTTTGCCGGAAAGTGGCTTCAAGGCGTTTGTGAGCTCATTGACACCAATGCCAAGGCTGCAGAGGCCTGCATAGCTGGAGCTTGCAAGCTTAGGTGTCGTTTTGGGGTGATCCTTACTTGAGACCCTTCCGTCTAAGCGCCTATCTTGCACCGGCTCATGTTTGTCACCCGGGCTCGTGCCGGTAGTTTTCCCTTTTTCTGCTTGGCGTTCTGCGCAGGACAGCCGCGACACGTCGCGCCTGAGGCTGGTCGTTGTGGGCCCTGAGTCGCTTCAGGGTCGGGGATGGTGTTCGTGTGCAGAATATAGGGTCCCCTTCTGCAGGCTATTGGCAGTCTAATACTTGGATTACCGCTTGCAGCGAATACATGACTGGACGAGGGCACTGGTTAAAGCCAGGTACCAGCAGAATTCCTGAAAAGCCTGGAGAACATCCCCTTTCAAACTTGTAATTGTGAATGTCAAACCACGAGAATGCCAGGAGCCTCCTGATCCAGCTGAAGAGCAGCCCAGTGGGGCTCCTAGATTTGATTTTGTGATTTTGCGGACTCCTGACACTTTTGCGCAGGGACAAGATAAGGACAATGCCGGCATAGTATTCGAGAAATGCTAAAGCTGCTTCAGTTGTGGGATTTCTGGGCGGCTGACGTCTTGTTTTCGCGGACGAAAGAAGCCCTGAGCACACATGTTGCTGCACCAGAGGGATCTCTAACATGAGTCTTATGCAGATCTTTCAAGTCAAGTTGGGTAGCTTTTTTAGCATGGAATGCTCAGGATAGGAGTAGCAAGTAACGTTGCATCTTCCTTTCCATCCCCATGTTTCCTGTGAAGAGCATATCCTTGGCGTAAAAGTGATCAAGTTACAAAAAACCGCAAGCTACCGACACCTACCAGTATCATGATGTGATGCGCTATGATGTGCTGTGCCAGTTTTTGAGCATACTTGGCTGGACTGTACTCCGCAGTGTTATGCAGAATGCTGAGCGTGGAGCAGGTGATGCCGGTTGCCGCCTGAACTTCGCCTTGTGAGAGATGGCGTGTGCCGCAAGCGCCAAGGGAGTAGCAAACCCAACAGGGCGACTAAGGCCTCGAGCCAGAATCTGCTTGACGTTTGAATGTACAGAGGCAAAAAACCGTATGGAGTGGGTCTGAAGAAGTCATTCGTAAAGAAATGGGCTGGGCCAGAGGTTTTGAAGTAAATCTTATGATTTCACCCACCCTGAAGGTAAGAATGCAACACAGCCCAAGACGGTAGGCAGTGCTGCAGCATAGCGTTCAAACTAACCTTTTTTGTCTTCTCCCTGGGCTGAAACTGTGAAAGTGCAGGGGGCTTCACCCCTACCCTATGATTGACGTCACTCGCAATCAGCGAATCTGATGAATCACCATCATGAGGGCATTTTGGGGCAAGCCTGAAAAGCAAAAAATTGAGCACCTACCCCGCATTTGCTCCTGAGCTTTGTTGTCTTCTAAGTGCTTGCCCACGCTTTTGCCTGTAGATGTACCAGTCTCGCTGCGAAGCGGACAAAACAGCGAACAACTCTCGGCGCGCAATGTGTTGTGGGCCCTGAAGCATCCGAATAACCAGACATCGATCATGGGCCTTGTCCTTGCAGGAAAACGGGCCTGGCAAGCAGTTGGACTTCGAGCGCAAAGATGCAAAAGCCTTAGGTCTTGCAACTTCGCGTGTTGCTCTGTGCTGAAGTAATATTTGAGAGATTTTGAGAGGTTTAGGGCTAACAGAGGATGATCAAGCACGTATGCCCTCTCATGAGGGTCTGATTTGGACACGCAGGCCTTTGACGCCATCGGATTTCTGCAGGTCTGGAACATGCGATGGGCGACCGACAACCCCGACCTCTTCGCCATCATGGAGAAGACGCGGATGTACATAGCGCTGTCCCCGGTAAGAATGTGCTCGTGTTCCTGCCCTAATTGCTTGTGCCGAAGCTTCAGGGGAGGTTTGAATCCTGATCATATTCTCTGTAGCATCCTTGCATACACGCTGATGATGTTCGCTCCTTCACGTCTTCTTAAGCACCCCTTGCAGTAATGATATCATGATAAAGTGCGATGTAGGCAAATGTAGGAACTTGTGATGAAGACGCAGTGGTTTAATGATTCTTCCACAGGACCTAGCAGCAGGAGACTCGAAGTGGTTCCGGTTCCTCAGTCAAGAGCAAATGTGAGAACTCACGATCATAGTCATGGTGATGGTCATGATCGTCATGATGGCACAAGCAGAGAAGCCATCAATCGCACGCCACGCGCTCCCTCGAAGAGAAGCCTAGCCCGATCAGATTTCAATGATTGGAAGCTCTTGTCAAGGTACATAACTTGCATCGATGCTGCAGATTTTTTTTTGATGTGCAGCCATCATAGCGTAAATGGTATATATATATATATGCATATACATATAATATTTGTATATACATATATAGATATATATATATATATCCCCTGAGTATGATCTACTCCAGCGCATGACCGTGACCTCATCATTATGCATTGCCCAGTGGCCTTCTGCAGAGGTCCGGGGCCTTCAGCCCGAGGCCGGCTGATTTTAAGGGTTACCTTGGGTCAGTATGTTGTAGTATATTATAGTAGATCATAGTATATCATAGTATATTATAGTATATTATAGTATACTACAGTAGTATATTATAGTATATTCTAGTATATTGCAGAATGCTATAGTATATTTTGGTATATTTAGTATAATATAGTGATCGGATGAGCCATGGGCTTCCCAGATGAGTGTGCGTGTGCTGCTGATGAGAATGGCCATATATTACGGTTAGTATTGCTATTATCATCATTACTATAAATACCAGAATTACTAGTATTACTACAATTATTATCAACTTTGTCCCAATTTCCTGACAGGAGCCCGTTCTCTCCAATGCGTACATATGTGCGTTCAAGGACCTCCAAATCCAAAGCGTGCTCATAGACGAGGCGAGAACATGGGTGGCACAAAAATGCAGAGTGGCCAATCACATTCCTGACAAAGTGCATGCCCCTGACTATAATTATAGCCTATCACAGTAGTTTCCATCATCCCCATGTTATGCCTATATAACCCTATACAGTGTAGTAGTTTCCATTTTATTTTGCATTAACTCTATACTACCCCAACCGTAACCCTAAAATAGACAGTCCCTGCTAAGCAGTCCAAGCATGCCAGTTCCCAGAATGGTACTGGGAACCTGCAGGTCATTCAAAATCCAGAAAACCCTCGGAAGGAGGCTCGTGCTGCGATAGAGTTCTTTTTGGAGGGAGCGGGAGAGAGAGAACTTTCAGATTTGCATTTTTTTGCTCTGCATGTCAAGACGTCTCTTGGCAATGTCGGTCTTTCTGGTTTTGAGAGTGCAAGCCTCAGAATCTCAATTTATTCCTCATGTTGCTATTCCGTGTAGACCCGTGTGTCACCTCACACGCTCCCATATGTGTAGACCAACTCTAACACTCCTTGACGCGCCGTTCTTGGAGGTTCATGGGTAGCTAGGTTTACACGTTCTAGTTATAGCAATCCTACTTACAATCCAACCTTCCAATTCAACCCGCTAATTCCTACTTGGACCTCCCAAATACTTAACATGATTAACAATGGGTGTATGGGCTATCCTTGAATATTAAGTATCGGCAAGCTCAAAATAGTTAGCGATGGGTGTATGGGCTATCCATGCTTTTATGCCCTAAATTTTAAACCCTTGATCTGGGTACTTGGTAGGTCTCGGTAGGCCCTAACTTTGAAAAAGTCCTAAACCCTTAAACCCTAAACCCTAAACCCTAAATCCTGCGTAAATGGTCTGAAGGTTTGAAGAAAAAAACCTTTCTTGGCCTGGGAGGTGCTTCTCGACTTCGAAACAAAGAGTCTGAGGGATACGCGCGACATCCTCACGAAGGTGACTCCAACCTCTTAGTGTTTTAGGGTGTAGGGGTTTAGGGTCTTGAGGGTCTGGGGGTTTAGGGTTTTCACTGTAGGGGTTAAGGGTCTTTAGCATTTAGGGGTTGAGGGCTGGGCCAAGTGGAGGGCTTTCGGCGTAGGACCTAGCAATGCGATGCATCTTTTTAAGTAAGGGGTTGGGTGAGTCCCCCACCCAGTAATGGGTACAGCAATGGACTTTTGTAGGTATATTAAGGTCCTATTAACTCCATATTTAAGGGCTTTTACCATGGGGATTGACCTGAGTAAGGGGTTGGGTTTGGGGAGGTACCAGAGCAGCAGAGAGAGCCCTGCGTGGGTTACGTTCGTGGGATAGCATCCTCAATGAAACGACATGTGATCCTGTCGCATCATTTCTTAAAGACACTGTGCCGCCTATGCTTGACCAAGTTCTTTGATCTCCAACATACATGCCCCCTAGAGGCAATAATCGAACATGTAACCAGATATTTTCCTATAGTCCATGGTAAATAGTACTGTATAGTGTTTGGTAATATACCCCACTAGTCCAAAAAGATCTCATGATTTCCAGAACCCTAAACCCCGAGGCCTCAACCTCAAACTTTACTGCCAGGTGTCTAACCTGAAGGACGCCTTCAACTATGCAGCGGCCCTGATATATGGGTGTTTCGATAATAGGAACCGCTTTTACTTACTGGTGGTGAGCAGGGAATAAGGGAATAAGGGTATGTATTATAGGGATTATATAGGGAGTATATCCCCATATTCCCGCTCAGGACCAGTGAGTTTAGAACGGTTTATAGAAAGCTCCTCAGATTCGTCTCTTAAATATCTTTCAGGATATATCGTAATAAGCGGAGTTTGGCAACCCCAATCCCCAAAAGTAAGACCTTATAATTATCATGCGGCTATGATGGGGTCTTTCCTATAGAGGCTGGGGGTTTTCTCCACCCAGTGTCCTTAAAGTATCGCAATCCCTATTCTTGTATTTTTACGGGTATTTAGGGGTTTCCCAAAGTGAGGGGTACCTTTTCGGGGGTCCCCATAACAAGGGTTACACTATATTGGGGTTTACATTGGGGTCCCTCCTATTTGGGGAAAACTACCATTTAGGGTGGTGCAAGAATTCTATCATTCATTTTATCTGCAGTCCTGAGGTTGATGCGAATCCGCACCCCAGACTCTGGAGGCTCGTTGCGGGCTCTGCTGTTTAGGCAGCAGTAATTGCAGGCATGTAAGGGACCCCTCACTCTGAGAAGGGTTCATATGATAAGGAGCAGTACCTTGTGTGTTCGTGCAATGTTTCCAAGGATTCTGCTATGAACAGGTGTGTGAAGTTTCATTGCTAACAATTCCATGGCAGTCCTGGCATAATTCCGCCCCTCGATCCCGCTCATACGCTTTGCAATGACCACCAGATTTTGAATGCCCACGTGTCACGGCCTATCTACCCCTGAATGAGGATCATCGTCAATTGTTTACCAGACATCTTTCATCCTTAGAATTAATCTTTCTATTAACGGGGCTGCTTTTCTGTAGTTCTTATACGAGTCATGCTTACGATGTGGCCACCTGGCTCAAGAGGAGAGGAAGACTTTCCATCTTGTGGGCTGCCGGTCCAGACTTGTAGGAAGGTTCCGCAAGCTGTGCCTTGTGGGGTAGCTTTAATCCCCCGGCAGCAGCATGTCCTCGGCAATGGAAGATGTGGTCGATGGAGTTGACGGAACAGACGAAGGACAGGAAATCTGTGCTCCTTGGTCTAAAGATGCTTCTGCGGGGTGGGGACTACGCAACGGGTACGGGTACGTGTTCTGTCATGCCTGGTGGCCCATGGGCATTTCTGAACGTGATGCGTGAACACTACTTAGGGCCAAAAGTCTCCTTATGAGTTTCCTATCTCCCTTGGTCCCTACGTAAAGCCCAAAATCGAAAGCAGTGTCCTGAGTTCTGCTTGAGTCTCATCAGCCAAGGTCAGTGTGCATGCTGGCCCTAGCAACACCATCCAAGTGAACGTGCCAGCAAAAGCGACTGTGGCTCAGCTGCGTTTCCGTTCCCATCAGGACGGCAACAAAAACCTCCTTCAAACCATAGGGAGCAAGAGTTGAGCCTGACAAATTCTGCAGTTACCATGTGAAAGACTTTTCGCACAGGAAGGTTTCATTTTGGGAACCACTGTGTGGCAGTTTGCACACACAGGGGGCCAAACTACACCAAAACAAGAGGGACCCCTAGAACCCTATATACCATCATTTGGGGCAATGTCCTGAGTCCCTTATTATATACAGTTCCTAGATAACCATTTCAGATCCCTGTAGCATCCCTATTCTTGGAACTCTCCATTGGCACGCCTGCTAGGTGTTTTGTCTGGCGACGCGAGTCAGCCAGGTGGGCAGCAAGGAAAGAAGGGCTTAGGTGTGAATCAAAAGGGCAAGAAACATGAAAATAAATCGAAGCTGGGTTTATACAGATGGCTTAGAGACAGTTATATCCCTATTGTAGTAGTTTCCATTTTCTTTTCCATCATCCCTATATAACCCCAATATATACCCCTGTAATCCCTGTATAACCCATTATAGTAGTTTCCATTTTCTGTTCCATTATTCCCTATATAACCCAAATTTGAAACCCTAAACCCTAAATCCTAAACCCTAAAAGACCCTAAAACCTAAACCCTACCTAAACCCAATATAACCTCAATATATCCCTTCAAGGTTTCGTGCCTAATAATGTTACCACAGCATTCATAAAGGGGGTGGCAATAGCGTTTTGTTGCCGGACCGGAAAAATCCCGTACAATCAAATTTCCCTTCTAACAAGTTTTGAGTAAGTCCAAATCGCAATAATAAAGGGGTGGCAATAACAATATTGTCCGGCCGGAAACGTCCCGATTTTGATAGATTCCCTTCTACTTGTCCTTCTAGTATTACGAGCTGCACTACCTGGTCCTACCCACGTCCCCGTGGTTTATTATTACGACCCCCCCTTCCGTAAGCCCAAATCGCAAAACAAGTTCGGGGGGGTGGTTTATTAATGTCACGGTAACATTAATGGGGGACCTGAACCAGGAGGATTTGATTTTGCGGTACGCTTTGCTTGTGGAATTGCACGCTCCAAGAGCCCCTGTAAGATTTTCATCTAAACCCCAAACCCCGAAACCCTAACCCCCAAAGTAGAATATGGTTGGGGTTATATTGCCCCAATAATG